AAAAGTACAAAGCTGGAGAACAAGGGGCCTGTGGAAGCAGAGGAATGCGCCTTTTCGCCAGAAATTCACGAACTGACAATGTAAAGGCTTCAATCGTCTGTAATTTCCATTCGAACTCGCATCACCCTCGATCTCAGGACTTCAAGATAATATTTTTGATTCGTTGTGACACCAGGCGGTACCAGTTCCTTATGAACTACTCCGCGAGAATGGAAAAAAAAAAATGATGACAACTGTCTTGAGGTCTGATTAGCTCACGTGAACTTTCTTCTGTCTTCGAGACTGAGGCGTGTGCCATTCCTCGCTTTGCCTCTTGCTTCAGGGCCGTATTAGAAAAAAACAACTTTCGTCACCTGTTAAGAATCGAGTAAGAAAATCTGGTTCAGTTTCGAGCCGTTCAATCATTTCTGCCGATACTTCGTTTCGACCCACTTTTTGATCGTCGTTCAAATTTCTTGGAGCAACCTTTGCAAGCATTTTTCTCATATTCAAACCTTGTGTAACAGTTTGGTTGACCGTACATCATTGGCGATCACTCGAACTGTCAAACGTCGATGTTGACGTACAAAAGCCCTGACAGGGTCGACGTTTGTGCTCGTTGTCACGGGGGGGGGGGGGGGGGNGATCGCCGTTCATCTTCTACTGTTTCTCGCCCATTTACAAGGCCTTTGTGTCACCGAAACGCTCCAGCACGTGAGAGAGAAGCATTACCAAACGTTTTCTGAATCTTTTCATAGGTGCCGGTAGCGTACCCTCAGTTTGACTCAAAACTTGATTGCATGACGTTGTTGGTGATTATTTTTGTGACTCCGTAACAACACATACATTTACATGAATCACAACAGAACCACATGCATACATGCCAGCAAGTTGAAACTTGGATTAAAGGTAGAGGAGGGATGTAGCTATAATCTCGGAACGGTCTTGGAGCTGCAGTGCTCCCAGTTCTCGCACTATAAAATTAATCTCATTACTCTGTTAACACACTATTCATTATTCATTAATCATCTCATCATTCGACGCTACAGACTACAGTACGAGCTACTGACAGCGTCGTCACAAACAAATTAAAATGAAGGTCATGTACGAGTATTTAATGAACAGGACACTCACTGAAATAAATACAACGTACAAATTACTTTGACATATGGGCATAATCTAAAAGCCTTCTGTGAAAGCTCGTAATTTTCTAAGTATTCATATTAATGTAAGAGTACAATTATTTTTCTCGTGCATAAACGTTACACTTTGCATCGACGCTATAAATGTACACAGGAACTTTACGGGCACTCTCTATTCATTTCAAAATACGTTCCTTGTATGGTTTGAACACCCTCTCTACACATTCGAATACTTTCCTGAGTTACTGATGTTTCCTTACAAATCTTCTGAACTTCTATGACGTCGAACGTGGCATCATGGCGATGAGTTCAGTACCTGAACACTGTGACATTCCACTGATGCATTCATTCAACAGACACAAATTTTTGAATAAACAATTTTCCATCCTGGACCAACTTAAGAGAAAAACACAACATATCCCAATTATGATGATGTGTTTATTGTTGAACTGGTAGTATAATTTAAAATAATAAGGTCAGGCAGTATACACTCGGAATCTCAAGAAGGGATATGTGCAAGATTTTCCACATTTAAGGCGAAGGACCCAAATATCACCCACGCTTATAACATTACACACACTCGCCAAAGAAATGTTGTTCTCAAAACATACTGCATAAACTGACGGAGCACCTTTGTACGTAACGTGTTCAGCAAAACTATGAGAGATGTTTTTGTGTTCAGTCTTACTGAAAGTATCTGGAGATGACGTAGCAAACAATATGCCGCGACACCACTACAAAGCTAAGATCCTTCCAGTTATTTAAACCGTAACCTTCGTGGCTTGTGAGGCACGTAACAAAAAATCTTTTCATGCTTGTTTGATTTGGTGACATTCTGGGGAAGACGCCATGTGAAATTCATAGTGTTTCTAATATCACCTAGAGGTGGTACATACGCGCCTTCCTTTACTGCACGTAACGGCATAAAGCGCGATGAAACGAGCTGCAAGTCTAGTACGGACGGAGGAAGTAACGCACAACGAACATGCGCAAAGGATTATACTAAGAAGGATGCATATATCCCTGATGGTTATTTGCACCCGTTTACAGTGGCACCTAAAAGCAGGAATATCTGAGTCAGAGTGGGCATCCATTGCTCCAACGGCTCAGCAGTCACGTTTTCTGCGCAACAGAGGTGACATTTTCAAGACAACGGCCATGTAAACGTTTATTCTCACAGCAACAGAAGGAACGTTTTCATGACAATGGAGGGATTAATTGTTCGATTCGGTGTTCCCTAGTCGGTACGCCAAGCGGTTATGAAAAAGTTTAGAACTGTACACAAAAGACAGATGAAGTACAGAAGTAAAAAGAGAGTTCAAATGTCAGAACTGAAGCCAACAGTTACAAGCAGAGTTAGCTCAAGCGCTTAGTCGCTGGCTTCCCACCGAGGCGACCAGGGTTCGATCCCGGGTCTGGTCAAGTGGGATTTGTGGTGGATAAAGTGGCGCTGGGACGGGTTCTCTCCGAGTACTTCAGTTTCCCCTGCCAATCTTCATTCCACCAAATTCTCCATCATCATAATAACCCGGGGCAGGCTACAATAGGCCAATCAGTGGCCGCCGTGCCGAGTGGACCCAGTTTGACTCCCCCCCCCCCACTAAGATAATTTAATTTATTTTTTTTAAGAATTGAAGGCAGAGCCCAGAAGTGAAGTATGAGAGATCACAGAAAGTGTGTGAACTTCAATAATTGAGTGTAAATGCGTGGTGACGTCCAATAAAGCCAACGATCAGATCTAAGAAATCAAAATTATTTGTCTGGGAACCATGGACACGTGACAATATAAACGATATTTGAACCATTACTTCTTTACGAACACACTGGTAAGCGATATTTGGAAGCCTTTAAAGAAACGACAAATTTAGTTTATTTTGACGAATCAAAGCTTAAGGTCCAAAACATCAAAATGTTAAAACTGTGATGTAGAAATATTTCAGACAGGTTGTTCCTCTGTATTACATCTCGAATTTTATATCTGGGATCGAATCTTATGTGGGCGATATCTGGGCCCTCTACCTCATACGAATCTTGATTTTCTGTAAAGTAACACATTTCCCAAATTCACAACATTCTGTTGCGAAACCAACTCCGGTATCAATAACTGTTTGCATTAAAGTGCAAGCTTCCAGAATGCTGGCGACATTACGTATTAACTGAAGTAATTAATTTTCAGTATGAGATCAGCGTCACACACAAAAAAAAAACGATATTAATTTCGCTATTGTTTCATTATCGGTCCTTCTTCTAAAACAATACTGTTCGTCCTTTTTTTTCTTTTTAAACAGAAATACAATAAAGAGATCTCGGTAGGGAATAAAGAGCAAGAATTTATGTTTCTCTACATTATTTTAAAAGTCATTTCACAGATTATGTATATTTTCGTACATAGTCCATATTCTGTGATATCGTTCATATTAACGATACTTCGAAACAGAATCCAAACAGTGGAGTAACACAGATATTATCCATAAAAGTGAAACTTGTTTACACGAGTCATTGAGCGAGAAGACTAGAAGTCCATCGGAACTGAAGCACACGACACGCTGGATGTTCCAGCATGAAGAGAAGTCTAGTCACTTCACTGCCATTCGAACAGTCTTCCTGACGGACCTACTTACAAAATCACGTGCTTGAATCTAATACTGCGAGTGTTACGAATAACACGAGTGTTCACTTCATCGGTCTGTCACTCTTCACGACACTGTCTAGGTCAAAACACCCTTCTGAAGCAATGTTTTGTGTGAGCTTATCTTAGACCAGCCGATATTACGCTCAATAATCCACTGACGATATTTCTGGAGAGAATGGAAAACGTCATCAAGTCAGTTGCAACATATGCACTCTGTAGTCAGCAATGAATTCTCTTCTCGTGTTCCGATTCACTACATAAATACAACCTTCCACAACAAACACTTTGTTTCCTGCATGTAAGCCGTGTGCCAGCAGCGGTATATTTTAAAATTTACATACTCTAAACAAAGCAACATAAAATAGCTATAATTTTCATTTCGTGCGTCCTGTTGTGTTATTATATACAATTTCTTTATTACAGTCCATCACAACACAACGATATAAAGGTCACGGCTAAAATTAGCTTGGCTACATGTTTCGGCTATTAAAGCCATCATCAGGCAAACACAAGATTACCATATTCACACACTACTGAACTGGAATTACGATGGTAAAGCTGGACACTTGATAATACATTATAAAATGCATGGTATAGAAAACTATTAAAACGAAAGTTGTGACGTAATGATGTGATATTCTATATCATCAAGTCAGGTTGTTGCAATTTGGTTATATTCCGCGGACATAATGGTATATTCAGACTTGTATACATGCAATAAACTGCTTGGAGGCCCGTGGGATAGATGTAGTATAGTTTTGACGTTAATTGTTTAGCTGGTGCCTCATCTTACAATGTATTTGTCCGTTTTGTAGGGAATGTAGATTGCAACTGTACTTCATTGTACTATTATGCCATGTATTCTATAATGTATTATCAAGTGTCCAGCTTTACCATCGCGATTGCAGTTCAGTAGTGTGTGAATATGGTAGTCTTGTGTTTTTCTGATGATGGCTTTAATAGCCGAAACATGTAGCCAAGCTAATTGTAGCCATGACCTTTATAATGTTGTCTTGTGACTGGCTGTAACAAAGAAATTGTATAAAATAACTACCGTATTTACGCATGTATAGGCCGCACATTTTTTGCCAAAAATTCAAGAGGAAAACTGGGGTGCGGCTTATATTCGAATTATTCGAAATCACACTTCATTTAAAAAAAATTATATTCGGAATATTTCGGAATAATTTCTACTCCTGAAATAATATTCCAAGAAAATTATTTTTTCTATAATTTCTGTCTGAAAATTGTGCTGCGGCCTATACATGCGTAAATACGGTACTTGTCATAGTACCATGTCCGGAACAGTACACAGATGCAGAATCTCCAGTTCACATCAAACAATGGGTCCTCTCTTGTAGTGACACACATGCAGTGAGTTCTCCAACAGCGTAGCAGTGAAGCGAACGTATGGGGCCTGACTTGACGGAAGGGGCGCCGACTTCTCCGCCGGAGTACTGTAGTCATGAGAGGGAGGCTAGATAAGGGTCGTGTCACTGTTACTCCTCAGTATGCAGTGCATCTGTGCTGCTTGGATGATAACTGAATCCAGGCTATTACAGCAGACAGCGGTGTTGAACCTAAACTTCCCGGTCAACTTCAAGTCGCTTGATCAGCCCATTTCTTCTTGGCGTCACATATAAATCCTCCGCAGATCCGACGGGGATGTTATCATGTTGCACTGTGGGCACAGCTTCTTTGCTCCCTGTAAACAAAATCGCAAGTCTTTTTGGTGGAATAAGCCTCACGTCGCGGGATTCACATAAGTCAGTGGTCCTCAGTCATGCTGAACGTAAAGGCAAATCTGTTTCAAATGAAATTACTGGAAGATAAACGTCCCGTGTTACTATGGCAAGACCACAGGGCCATGGAAGTTATATCAAATCTGAGAGTTCTAACTATTTTGTGGCGAGCAAATGTCGTGCCACGGAAAGCTGTAGGTTTTCCCTACGTTCGGAGCCGGCATGGTTCGTCAGTGTAGTGACCAAGCTTTGGGCTTGGCGTCCAGACGCCGTCATCAGACCGTCTCTGGAGCCCATCCAATCTCCTGTGCAATGGGAATCGAGGTCTCTTCCCCCAGGGAAAAGCGGCAGGGGGTTGAAACGGACCACTCAACCCCCATCTAGTACCGAGGCCACAAATACGTGGCGTTATACCTCCACTAGCGTATACACGTGGTGCGTGGGGTAAATTTTACCTTCAGCTCACGTCATTATATTTTTTTAAAGAAAAATATATGAACATGAACCGAACTTCAAAACTGTTGCCATTTACTGAGGACCAATGATTGGCACTAAGTAATAAGTAGTATAAGTGTATAAAACCATGCAGTTGATGTAACTTGCACCACGACTTTCATCATACGACAGATATTTTTGTACGAAAGTGTCTCCTTTAACTTTCGATAACTTAAGAGTTTTGCATGATCTGTAACATGCGAATAATTTCTATTATTTGACATGCTATATAAATATTATGACTTTATGCACCTACATAAAAGTAAAAAAAAAAAGGGCTCCCATTCATGAATCCCATTTTTGTATGGCCTTATACACTAAATTATACAATACAAATGTTTAAACTTCAGCTGAATACCACAGCCAATTAAATATTTTAATGCAGCTTCAGTAACATAAGATGACCAAACATGGAATGGAAGAAGAGACAATACTTGTTTTGGGTGGTGAAAGGGGGGTGTACCCTTTGTCCAGCGAACATGTTACAACGAAAGAATGTTGAAGAACGATCCTGAACTCTAGTATTAACAATATTCAATGGCCGTGCATCGCGTTTTCTTCCTCCCTCGTCCATTGCCGTGACTACACGAAATGTCCAACGCTGCATTTGCGCATCTGCAACGCTCCAAACAGATATTATCCCTGCTTGTCACATTTGATTCGGGCTAGGGCGTGCGGTGAAGTCGCCGCTAGAGCACACAGTACCAGAGGAACTGTATGGTGTTGCTTGGCGCTTGCAAAATGCAGTCAATCACACGGTGAATCTAATGGTTGCTCCCATTACTATTTGCAAGTAGCCATCACGTTTGTGCTCATCATGCCTGTAATATGTGTGTGAAACTTGCCACTGATGATCGGCCCCGTTTTCAGTGTCTTAACAGTCGTGAGCTTGTCCACTGTGTTCTGTCTTCCACACAATTATTTTACGTGCAGCATTCCATCTTGAGGCGCATCAGCTGACGCTAGGATAGGATAAATTTAACTCCGAACAGCATTGCACCTTCAACAACTACCGGATTTTGGAATAGTTCCACTTTGTATTCCATTCCATCTTCGAGCACAACAGTCGACTCTGGCCGGAATGGTCTTAATGCAACTACACCGCTTTGTATAGAATCCTATTTTCAGGCACAGTTGACTTTGGAACACCGGTAGTTCAAATACTGTTAGAGCACTTCCGGTTTTTCCACGTGCGATGCAAAGTGGGCAATAAACTGTTAAGATTTACCAGATGCCTTTATTCCCTCGTTGTCTGTTCTTCCTTACAAATTCATTAAGATTGTAGAATTTGATATCAAACTTTCACACACTGAGCAGCAAAATGTAGGCCCCACAACACTTTGTGGAAATGCTGTTCACTGTCGTGTTTGTACACATTTTCCTATGGCTTCTGTTCTGAAGAAAAGCCAATATTCAAAGGCAAGGTTGTCTCTTTCACGTGAACTGTATAAATATACGTATGTGTGAAATAGCGTTCAGCGCGAATAATTCACCGACCTCCAGTCTGACGTGTAACAAACAGTTATTATAAACGTTATCACTGTTGGAGCGATGTTACTGGAGGACTTTTGCAAGCAGTGCCAATAAAACGTGCTTCATGACAGATCGCTGAAAACTATGATGCTCAAGGAATGTTTCGAAACATATTCAGAAAGACGTGTACTTAACTGGCTGACATTTCGTGGCTATGGAAGCTAAATTATGTGAACCACAGTGCTCTGGACAAAGTACAGTAAACCCATAAACTGGCCTGAAGGCACATTATACATGTATTTGTGTATTCTCCGATTTCTTAACCATAGCTGGCGATGCCAACTGTCTGTTAGAAACATTCCCTTATTTAAGGCATAAGAATTACCCTAAAATGGTAACAAGTAAATAAGTTTCATATTTTCACTCACTGACTCATAACTGATCTTCTTTTGTTATATTTCTTAATAGCTGTAAACGGTTTTGTAGATTTTCGACGTGTAAAGATAATCCAATGTGAGCGTCCAGAACTGCAAGGAAATGCTTTATTCCCAATGCTCCATTGCAAAATTCGTATGAAATAAATGTGCATCCACTATTTCAGTTTGAACTCGTTGTGTTTTAGAGATGATATATGTTTATTGTAAACATTGCTCATTTGCTATGCAATTAATTTCATTTGTCACTGTTTATTCTCCTTGTAAATAACATATGATATCCTCTTTAAAAGGTTGTATAGTAATTACTGCAGTATGTATGGGTTTAAAGGAAAACAGTGCCACTGGCCAAGTGTGTAATGTATTTTCTGTGAGATTCTGTTACAGCTATGTAATTTATTATCATGACAATTCGGATTATACAATTATATTTTTCCTGTAATTGCAACAGTTAAAAGCGTTCAATAAATACAATGTGGTTATATGGCTCCTCATTTGTTGGCTTATGAACGAAAGCTGTGTGCTGTGCGAATCAATTTTATAGCCGAGATTTAATCCCTGCTTAATATGACACATGTGCCCTAGTCTTAAAATCAACATGTAAATCGTTTTGTCTCAGGTTTGCTCCAGCTTGGTTGACAATCCTAATCTCTCTCGTTCGATAACCCTGCATCCAAAAGTACAAATATGACACATGTGAATCATTTATACGCACAAGGTCATAGTATTTGTTCCTACTTCATCTTCCGACGAAATAACATTTGAAGATAAATCATAACACTGTTTTCTACTAATGGGATCACTGAAATATTAAGAAAGCAACGCCTGCAATATGCACTGTACATTAACTGTTCTTGTAGTAGGCATCCACGCACAGACTTACTAAAGGAAGTCCAGATACACAAGTTTTCTGATTTGGTTTTATATATTTTCTGAACGTGGTCTAACAAGAAAATTTCGACTCTGAATACAATGTCTTAGTATCACTGCATCGCATCATGTCACATGAAGAGTTATGCTGCTGACTGCATGATATGTCTTCCATTAACATCTTGTTCTAAGGGTGACATGCAATGGCACACGACTAAACAGTGACACTGGCATTTTAAAAAGAACAGTCACAATAACCACAAACAACAATGCCGGAGGCGTTCTTTAAAACCAGATGCCATGATCAGTTTGCTGCACGCTCATGCTACACAGCACGTATCTTCACCGCTTGTACGAGTACCAGGGAAACTGAACAAGCCCAAATAGTCTCTATACAATCAACTCCATGGAACTCAGTCTCCTTTTTGAGAAGCTGTTAGTTGCTCAGCTAGTCTCCTTTTCGACAACTGATTAAGCGGACACCAAACAGCATCCAGCTTAGTTATCTGATGACAGTGCTGTTTTATGCAACATTCTTAAAAATTCGGCAATCTTCCAGTGCGCTTAAATGCGTAGAAAATAAAACGCTGAAAAATGAACTCAACCGAGGAAACATTTAAATAATGTCTTTTGTGTAAAACGTCGTCATTCTTTTAATTTCACTGCTCGCCCTTCCTTCAACGAGGGCTCAAACTACTATTTCTGAACGCTTCCTGTAACCTAATCTCGTGTTGCGTAATGGGTTCTTGTTTATACCCCTTTGCTACATTCACATAACACATGAGGAATAACTCTCTCTTCTTCCAGAAGACAATGCCATCACATCGAAACGGAATACAGAATCTACATTGTCCTCCCCTGTAGCTTGAAGCAACTCAACATTCACTTCACAATACGTCAAATTACTCTTCCTGACATCAAATGCCTGTTGCGCCTCATATTAATTACACTACATACCTTGACCGATACTTCAGTACTTGATAGCGATTTCTTTCCAGTCCCCTTTGTATGTATTATTGCAATCTCGCGCAGGGAACGTTTGGAATAACAAGGTACACGAAACTTCTTCCAGGTCGTACTTACATCCGAGGAAAGAATGGTTTATGGCCACGTACACGTGGCTCGTAGACGAAAAGAGTAGATGTTCGCAAAACAAGTTCTTACACTAGCGTGTTAATATGAACTTTGGGCCGTATCTTCGCCACACAAAACGTCAGAAAGTCCAAAACAATGTTCCAATGGCAAATTACGTTTGAAGCTGGTACAGATTTAAGTATAAGAAGATGAAGAGTGCACATTACCAGTGTATGCAGCCAGCATTCTTCGCAGTGGACATGCCAACAGCAGACAGAGATCACAGGCTTCTTGTAGCGCTCCTGCACAAACCCCAACAAACAGACACATCCAAATAGGAGCCACAACATAAAAATAAAACAAACTAATTTATTTTCTACATGTGGACGAGGCAATATTTTGGAAGAAATTTATTTCACACTTTCCAGGGTCGTCCATTGTGTGTGTATTGACAGCATCAACTACAACCTAAATGATCATTCAAACAAAACAAGAAAGACAACAATTTTTTTCGGTATCCTCTTTGTCTACCACTCTAAGAAACATCATGTTTTGAATGTATAATTCTTGAAAAGTCTGATACTTTTCTTGGGACTGTGCTCTTCAAAGAGAGCATTTTGTTTTGTGTGTAAAACTGAATTTTACGATCATTCAGGGGTCCAAAGTTTTTTCTTTCTTCTCAGAGCACGAAGACTCATTTACATCAGGGAATGGCGATTTACGGGTCAACGTGACAGGATTTGAGACACAAATGCTCTATTATATTCAGAGGTGAAAATAACGACTGTACCAAAAGTAAGACAGCCATTACCTTTCTCATCAGATGAATGTATCAAAACATGTGCACACATACAGAATTTACATTAAACTCTTTTCTTTAACTACCCAAATCTATCGAACTCGAAAATGATGATCGTCAAAACAGAATGAAGGTTAGAATTACAACTACAGAAATACAATGTCTAATAAATATTTCTGGAAATTATTGGAACAAACTAGCCTCTGTAAAGGTATATCAGTCCGTGTCACTTTCAAACATTTTGATGCTTTGCATTCGGTAGATCCTCAGTTCAAAACTCGGCCCAGAGACCGGCTATCCTGAATGCGAATTTTGGCAGTTCTCTTCAGTCTCTCTAAACAAATTATTGTATAGAACCTCAAATCAAGCCACAGCCGCTTCTATGCATATCCTTTCCAATTCACTATTCACTAAACATTCTATTACTCCACGCTACACAGTCTGAGCTAGAGACAGGCCACAAATAAATAAGTAAATAACACTAAGTGTGGAGGAAAGGAAAGACAGTGGTACAGAACAATAATATCTTCAAACGAAACACATATATTTCTTTCTAGCAAGGAAGACAGATTTTATCTGCTTAATTCAATCCCAATTTAGGTTCAGAATAAATTCAGACGTGAATCAACTCTCGTTAAAAATAATTTAATCTACATAAGCTAGTTTCTATGTAAACTTATTTTTCATGAAATGAACTTCTCATATTCTGAGAATGACGTGACGAACTGTTTGCAAAATCAAAAGACGCCACATTTTCTAAAATAATTTTAAGTAATGCTTCTGACATGCGATTCTAAATCCAGTTCCATTTGTAGCTCCTGTAGAATATCAGGGGAAAAAAAAGTTATACTTCAGCAACAAATAATCAGTTCCCCGTTATACTCGATTAATTAGCATCCGCCGTTCTAGCGTGGTGTTTAACTAATTAAAGACAGGAATAACTTAACCTTATACTTTGCATGGAATTAACTAACTCCACGGAACTGAGTCCTTCTTGAAAAGCGGCCAGTTGCGTAGCTACTCAAGGATTTCCCAGCATTTTATGGCAACCGATGGTTCATTACCGTGTTCACAAGAACCCCCCCCCCCCCACTGGTCCCCATTCTGAGCCAGATCACTTAGCATAGAACTAACCTATGCAATTCACATCTCGACCACAGAGCATGTTTAAAGAAAAGCATAAGAGACAAACTGACAGAAGCAACAAAAGCTGAACATAATTTCGCGTTTTGTTACGAGTCCTGCGAATACTGCAGACACGCTTGATACAATCTGAGACAGACGCAAATTCTTTCACTTCCGCTAAGTGAGGCAATATTACACTAAGATTTACAGTCTTCAGGGGTGCGAGCCGCCTAGTCTCGGAAATTGGTACCGACGATGGGGAAGTGGCCTGCTGCCTGGATCTTCATCGCTCCCTTCCTCCAAACTGGAGGCAGTCGATTCCTCCGGGCTATCAGACTACAGGGCGTCATATCCCAGAAGCCAGCATCTTCACACTCCTCGCCGTGAGAACCTCAGATCTCAGTACAGCACGGTTAGAAGTTCATGCCGTAAAATCCACACTCGATTTCGAAATGTCTGTTACACAGACAAACGAAGAAACTACGTATGGCAGAATATCCCCAATCGCGAGCAGTACGACACACAGTGACATCCACAATCACGTGGATCGCCGGTGCTCAGCGAGCTGGACCACTGAGTTCGGCCACTCAATTCGAGTGATGGCCGCCTTTTTCACATAGAAAAAGGTAAAGCTATCCCTGTAACAGGCCGTGGACACCCATAGGGTTGTGAGACTGCGAGGCTCCCACATTTTCTTGACAATCGGTTCACAGATGGCGGTGTGGATGTCAGCTTTACGCGCCGGCCGCCCTTTCCCCCGAGAAAGATTCCTGGTACTCATTTTTGTTAGAGGCTGAGCTGACCCCAGGGTCATACTGCGGCTGGAAGGGTTAGGTCAACTGAAAAATCCAGTGACCTCATCGAAAATCGAACCCGCGACCTTTCCGATTGTAACATAGTGTCTCAAACTACTATGCTACCGCGCGCCTCCGTCTCTTCCACATTCGCAAATAGAAATCCAAATGTACAATTTCCACAAATCTTTTTTTCGCAATGCCATAAGGTGAACATTTCTATAAGCTGCTGTTCAGTAGGTCTATTTTCGTTGTAGTCCAACAATTATCTTAACAGGAAGCTTAAAATAATTTGACTTTGCACCAGACGAATTGTTACACTTGACATGACGTTGCTCAGTATTTTTTTTTATAAGTTATGTGGGTACGATATTCTATAGTTGCAAAACTATTAGTTCGAAAACTGGTTGTCCTTTATCGCGTGCATGGATGTTAATGTTTTTTAGCCTACGTACCTAAAGGAGGATTATGCGACCTCCATGCTGACTGTGTGTCCATGTATTCCCCTTCTATCAACTTTTGAATGGCTGAACCCATCTTTATTAAACTTGGTATGCATATCTTGACACCTGAGCTAATCTCAACGGCGTACTTCATAAATCCCTCCCATCAGACGGTTTCCCTTATCATTGCCAGGCAACGGCTCGGTAAAAACGTTATCGCGACAACGAATACATATGAAACGATAGAAGAACTGTTTAACGCACCGTTTTCTATGCGCTTCCTGTTGTATCAAGGAAGGAAGGCGATTAGTTCTTCCCTGAACTTCTTGTTATGCGGTGAAACTGGTTTGTAAAATTTAAATACACTTAACAGTTCTCAACAATTTAAACTTAAAAATCATATCAGTACCGTATCATTTTCTGCTGAACCAAATTCACGTTTTAGAACCAAAACGCACATACTGTAGTCCAGTGAATTGTTTTGGAGGAAGTTACTGCCTCAATCTTCATGGCGCACACGTGAAGACGTTCCCACAAAACGTAGGTACCAGCCTACCATATTAAAGTGCAGTATCATAAGCCAGAAATCTACAGCATATTTCGATATATTGCAAAATTACAACAGAACTCAAGTTAATGAAACACATTTCTTAAAACATTTAATATTGTTGATTTTAAAAGCATTCTATAAATTTTGACTATATTTAATTATACTTTATGAATCTCAAAATAACGACGAAAGGACGAAACATGTTCGCTAACAATGTATCCTTTTCATTGAAAGCTTGGTGTAAGTGTGTCAGGCAGAAATCTGATGACATATAACAATTTTTATATTATGCACAAAGAAATTATTCTGTCAACATGTACATAAAACAGAATCAAAGCACAGCAGCAAAGTTACCAGTCCATTAACAATAAACCTATAATTTAATAGGTCTTCCAGTGATCTTGACCGTCAGGGGGCAAAGAATTTTTCAGATACTTTTAACCGATAGTAAAAAATAAAAATGAAAGTGAAGTTATCCCTGCATTCAATTATGTCATTAAGCACTAGGCCATGAAGGCATATGGCGGAAAGGAGGTATAGCTCCACCATTCTTTAGCTTGGCACTACATGGAAGCGAATGGTCAGCTTCACGCCCTTTGTAGACACTGGATGGGCCCCAGAACCTGACGCTCTTGTTTCTGTCGGTAATCGAACCCTATTCGTTCAGTCCCTTGGCTAAACGCTATACTGACCGATCTAGCACGTCTCCCATGACAGTGACAAATACAAAATTGTATTCATGCAGAAATGAGGAACATGATAAAGCAATGGAATGAATGCTTCCATCCAATACCAAAAATTTCATGTTTGGTACATGTATATACCTTATATACTTTAAAGGCGGAGTGGATATTCATTCGTTTCTTTGCTTCCCCTCACAGTTTATAGCCACTCTCAGCATCTGTCACGTATTTGGGGTTCCGTGACGAATAATAATGGGTGCTGGATTTGACAATTGGATTTATTAACACCTTCATTTACAAGTCTTCCTAATCGCACTTAATTATAGCGCTATCGCTAATTCACCCACTTCACAATCACTACGACATGCTCCATTCTTTTCCTTTTACTCTCAATTACTGCCAGTTTCAGAATTCGCTTTTCTTATAACCACTCTGCACGGACTCAACGGGAAACAGTCTGTACTGTTGACGAAGCTTGTTTACCGCGCTGTTGACTAGAAATAGACGTACTACTGTTGCGTGCTCGTGTGTTGCGGGGAAGTGTTTACCGACCCGTTGCTTAACAATGGACTTCCGCCTGTGCGCTGCTATTCCGGATTTCAAGGGGTGTTCACCGAACCGTTACCTAGCAAATGGCCATATTCGTCACAATATTTTTCATATCTTATAATTATGACAGCCTGTGTGTGCATGTACCTTTGCTTGAGCGCACACAGGTGGCGGACCTTGCAAAAATGTTGCAATAACACAGTACTTGGAAAGACTGTTATTTTCTGTTGATACTCCCCAGTTAGCTCAAGTGGTTAGTCGCTGGCTTCCCACCGCAGTGGCCCGGGTTCGATCTCGGGTCTAGTCAAGTGGGATTTGTGGTGGATAAAGTGGCACTGGGGCAGGTTTTCTCCGAGTAC